CACTGTACATTTACCGTATTAGGTCACTCTCATTGAAAGCACCTCATTATTTCTAGTTTTTCAATTACCCCAAGAGGCAACATACAATAGTAGAAAAATTAACTGGATTTAGTGCCAGAAACCTGAGTATGCAAATATAGACAAAGTGTTTATTCTTAGCTTCGGTTTACTGATATGAAAAAATACAGAGGATAATCTCTGTCCTATAAAACTATTATACAAATTGCATGAGAAAACAAATTATAGACTTCTCCCAATCACCAAAGAAGTATACAAAACTAGGATAGCTAGAAATACTCCAGGTTTTTTTGTTGTTGTTGTTGTTTTGTTTTGTTTTGTTTTGTTTTTTAGAGAGGAGGTTTTTGCTATGGGCATGTACGCTCACCAGAGAGACAGAAAGCGAGAAATCAGCCCCCCATGTGTGATGGCCACACCACAATCCCTTCTCCTTCATTCTCCTCTCAGGATCTTGGGCACGCACGCACATGTGCCCAGCATGAGTTTAAGCCACCAGATCTGGGACTCAAACTGTGGTAGACTACATGGGAGTCCAGCTACATAGCCATTATACTAACTGCTGGTCCCAAAATACTCCATGCTTTGAGGCTTTATGATACTGTTGCCATTTTTCTTCAATACTGTAACAATTGTGCTGTTATTTGTGACTTTTTTTTTTTTTTAATGTTTGTCATATGGTACATGTGCTTGCCAAAGACAGAAAGAGAGAGACAGAGAGAGAGAAAGTGATAAGCACCCTGTTGAAGGGGATGGCCACCACAATCCCATCTCCTCCATTCTCCTAACAGGATTCTGGGCATGTGTACACAATGCCTGATGTGTTGTCCAAGCCACTGGGTCTGGGACTAGAACCAAGCCTTCAGTTATGTGGGATCCATTTGCCTGAATCACCACAGCATGGGCTGATCCATGACTTTCTTTCCTGAGTTGAAAGGACTATGGGAGATAAGGTGATAGAATATTTCAGCTGATCCCACCGTGAGATTCACAAATATCCCAATAACTAGCTTTCTTTAAATACTTTATTAGGACCAATCCTAGCTCTGCTGCTCACAGTATAATCTGTATGCTTCAGTTTCCTCCTGCTAATGGCTGAAAGAGAACTTTAAGGTACATTTCAGCTCTATAGATCTGTGAATTCCACCAACTTTCATTCTGCCTTGAAAGTGCTCCACCTGAAAGGTTTCTCAAAGAAGAATAATTTTTCTCTTCGTATCAAAAGATAAAGAATTGAATGAAAGAAGTAGTAAGCAGAACTGGTCCACTTTCCCCTGGTTGGAATACGAGAACAGGAGAGCTCCTGAGCAAATGCTGTTCCTTCCCAGCTCAGCACCTCTCAGGCCTTGCTCCTTTCCCTCCCCTGGAAGCCTTGCCATTTTCCAAAATGTGTTTATGTCTTTGCTTAAATTTGTAAACTTTTTCAACAAAGCATAAAAAGACTATGTAAAACATGTAGATGCTTAGCTATCTTCAGAGCCTCCTCTTCTCACACTCTAATGTGCATATGAATGGCCTGGCCATTGTGTTAAAATACAAACTTGGATTCAGTGTGTCTGGCATAGCACCTCTGATTCTGCAGTTCTAGTGAGTTCTCAGGTGATTCCACTAGTTCTAGAATGACCCTGAGGAGAGTCCGGAGTATTCCATGGACTAAATGGTCCTTAAATGTAAAACTTAAAAGAAAATCATAATACATAAATTATTATTTTTAAGTATTTTTAAAAACTTATCTCCTTTTAAATGATCTTTTCATAAACAAAATTTCAAAGCTGAAAATTACAGAAAATCACTGTATTATTCCTACAATATAAACCATAATGCATATATACTATTATAATATTTCATATGTACTACTCTCATATCATTTTTCTGCATTACAATTTATATATTTTAAAATTTGGTATAATGATGTAATCAGATAACTTAAAAATCACAATTTAATTTTTTTCTTTTTGAGAGGTTTTTACTATAGGGCATGTGTGCTCGCCAGACAGACAGAGAGAGACAGAGAGATAGAAAGCGAGGAATCACCCCCCCAGGGGGGATGGACACGCCGCAATCCTTTCTCCTCCATTCTCCTCTCGGAATCTTGGGCACCCCCACACACGCACCCGGCGTGAATTTTAAGCCACCAGGTCCGGGACTTGAACCACGGTCGACTATGTGGGAGTCCAGCGACAAAGCCATTACGCTAACTGCTGGTTCCAAAATCACAATTTAATTTTGAAAACACATAGGAAAGTAAACTAAGTTATGCATATAATTATTAAGATAATCAGATTGTTCATTTAAAATAAAAATTTCTCAATACTTATGGTATATTATAAGCTTCTTTGTTCTAAAACAGTTTACATTATATGAAGTATTACAATGTTCTGAAAAACTGTAACTGATAACTGCTAGTGATCCAAAAGAGTAAATCTGCAAAACTCATTTCTTTATATTAGGCGAAGCTGTGTATGTACACACACACACACACACACACACACACACACACACACACACATACACACACACATACACACACACATTTGCTTTTTGAAAAAATTCCTTAGTATTCAATAACCTCGTTTCTGACTGACAGAAAATACAAACAAAAATGTACACCTAATTACCAAGGGTAGTTACTTTAGAAATGAAAGAATTTGACCTACCTACTACTAGTGAAGCCTTTTTTTAAAGACTAAAAGTGGTATTATGGGGGCCTTCAGATGGCATTGTGGTTACATTGCTGAACTTCACCTAGCCAACTGCGGTTTGAGTCCCAGACCCAGTGGCTTGAAACTCATGCCAGGTGCATGTGCATGTGTGCCCCAAGTCCCCAGGAGGAAAATGGAGGATTGCCATGTGCCCATCCCTATGGGGGATGATTTCTCACTTCCCCTCTCACTGTCTCCGTCTCTCTCCTTCTAGTGAGCGCACGTATCCTAAGGCAAAAACCTCTAAAGAAAAAAAAAAATGATATTGTGAAATTCAACACTGCATCATATAAAAATGTACAATAATTTCTCTTTATAAATATGTGTGAGATTTCCTTAGTTTTCTCATTAGCACAATATAGGCCTGGGATTCTTGGTGAGAATTAAGCAGTAGTGACTAAAATTTTATTTAAAAAAGAATACTGTTTGCAAGACTTCTAGTTTTTTTCTGTGCAATTATCTGTATTTCCCTCACACAGGAGATAGAGAGCTGATTAAAGGCTCTGGTTTACCTAGTACAGGAAATGTCTTCTGTAGGCTTACTATAAAAGATGTTAACATAATATTTGGAGAGAAGAAAATGGTGATCAAAGAAGGTGAATAATATATTCAGAAGGCAAATGAGCCTGAACATAACTCACTGGTGCAGAGCAGGAGGGATTGAGGGTCTTCCTCCTCAATTATGTTTCAGAACACTTTGTGTCCCAAGAAGTTGGTGACAGTATACATTTTAGACCCCCAATTAGCCCTCCATAGCCAATTTCAAATCCTCGAGGAAATCTGTAAGTTTTCCTGATAATCAACTTAAAGAATTACAAACACTATGGGGGCGGTAAGACTAGGAAACGGGTAATAAGGGGTGCGAGAGAGGGGATCAGGGAAAAAACAAGCAACATTTTAAATGTAAAAATGAAAAAGTTATCTGCTGATAATAATGTATGTGGTAATGTAGTTGACGTGGCTAGTATGCGCTAGTATTCATCCTGAGAATAACCATGTTGTGCACTGTAAAGATATACAGTGATTAAGTGTAAATAAAATAAGTAAGTAAATAAAGACATCTTTCAGAAATGACATGTCATAAGTATTAAAAAAGGAGACCTTGTTAAGGTATCAAAATTACCAAAATAATGTTGATTGGATTTTAACATGTTACTCTTACAGAGCAATTTAGGCTTGCATGTAATACTACATCTGTGAGACTCATTTATTTCTATTGTGTTATTTTTCTTGTAAGAATAAAGGTTAGCTCTCCTTTTAAATAAATCACTGACCATTTAATAACGTGAGAAATATAACACGGACAACCCATTTATTTTGCTAAGCAAAGAAAATGGAAAGAAACAAAGCTGTTGTCAAGTCAATTTTCTTATGCAGAAGAAAATATTTCTTTTTTATTAGCTCCATCTGATGGCTGATCTGGTTTTTACACACTGCCTAGCTATAAATTCCCAATAGTAATTTTGTTGATTCCTCTCCCTCTTTTCTATCAGGAAGGTATGCTAGATTGAGAAGTTGCTTAGCTCATTATACAACTAACTAGATTGTTGAATTCTGCAAAAAATGAATTATAAATAGTGAAGACTTCCTTACATTATTCTCTGCTAAATAAATCTTGTTAATCCTGTCAGACTTTCTTCTTTTAGGTGGTGAATCATAGGTATCAGAGATTACAATGGTGTAAAATTTAAAATTTGAGAATATGAGCATATTTTCCTATATGCACATCTTCATACATACCTCTCAGATCAGCTTAGCTTGTCTCTTGTCTAACTGGTTGGGCACGTGCATGGATATGACACTATATAAGCTTATGAACATGACTGCCTTTCTCAGTCATGTTTCTTTATAATACTTATAAAGTTCATTTCTTTCAGGAGTGAGAGAGACAGACACAGAGAAAGAGAAAGAGACAGCACCCCCAATGGCGTCCTCACCCCATGATTCGCTCCCAGCCTCTGCCAGCGAGGATCACAGGTGTGTGCATGCATGCCCAGTGTGCACAGCGATGCAAACGTAAAAAAACTTCCCATGTGGCTTCAGCATCAAGGTTCCCTGGGTTCCCTCCACACCACCGTGACTGGCCCTCATTCATGTTTTACACTAACGAACCAGTTTAGCAAAAGCTTATTTATAGGATATGCCATCTTAATCTCAGTATGAATATGCATGTTAGAAAATGAAATTCTGCCAATGCAGGAAAACAAAGCTTAGGATTTAAATGTTTCAAAATATATAACAGAGCTTAAACATTAAATAAGTAAATTAAGAAAAATACTATACCTCAGCATCATATTCCCATAACTGATTTCCTCTCATGTGGTGGCATTTTAACATGATTACGGGTCCATTGAGTCTAGAAACATCCAAGCACAAGTCATCGGTTCGGATTTCTTTGTCAGCAGTATAAGAAAACACCTGAAAATATAAAATTCAGCTAATAAAAAAATCTACTTATAAAAAAGCCACAGTAAAGCAGATGTATCTGTAGAGGCTTTTATACCAGATAAACATTTTTTAAAAAAAATTTGCCATAGAACACATGTACTCACTGAAGAGAAAAAGAGAGAGAATGGGAACGAAAAAAATAAGAAAGCACCGGCCAGGGGGGATGACCACGCTCTACTTCCTTCTCCATTCTCCCCTCAGGTTTTGGGCATGCACACACACACACACACACACACACACACACACACACACACCAGGTGCTTCTCAAGCTGCTAGGTCCAGGAATCCGAGCATTCAATTGGCCATGTGGGATCCAGCCTCCTCAACCAACACTCAATGAGCTGTCCCAGATTTATTATTTTAAGTTATTTCTTCTATGTGATCTTGAGAAAACTAGAAGCTAGTTCACGTCTCTTTTTCCTCAAATGCAAAATAGTGACAACCTCTCATCAAGGTTTTAGTAAGGCTTCAATTCAATAAGCTAAATTGTTAAATGTTTATTATTTGATGCCCCTCCATTTCTTGCATATTTGCCTTATAAAACTCAAGCAGGATAAATAAAATAGAGTTTGTAAACTGCATGAAGCACAATAAGGGAAGTCCTTATTCCTACCACCTTGGGATGAACCCCCAACTATGGAGACAATGACGTTTTTATATAGAAGTTCAAATATTTCTTTTGACAACATAAGTACAGTGTGTAAATTTTATTAACTATTACCAGTGTGTTTCTGGAGGTTGTAAAAGTATCTTCTCTAGAGATCTCATTAAAGGTAGACTTTATACTTATCGTTCTCACATGGTTTCAGTGAGGCTAAACTACGTCAATTTTTCTCAAAATATCCAAGAAATGTCAAAGTAGATTGTGAGCTCATTGTCAGAGAATTCAAAATGGAACTATAATAATCTTTACTATTTTGTGCTGAGTGTGAATAATTTATTTATACCATTGACTATTAAAGTTTCATGAGGGTTATTAAATACATAATTATCAAATTCATTTTCTTCTTCTAGCTATGATAAGTGTGGCCCAATATTCCATGGGTCTTTCCTTGCAGTGTCAAGAGGGAGTCTAAAAAGAAAGGTCAACTCAGAATCTTGAACAAAAGTAGTCTGATGAAATCTGGGAAGTTATCTCTACAAATAACATCAACTCTGGGGCCCTAGTCTGTAAACTGAACAAGTTTGTATGGAAAAGAGTCTCTGTAGCACTGCTTCTCAGGGCTTCTATGAAAATCAAAAGGAGAGGTGGGAGTTAGTAGCAGTACATGCTGGAACCCAAGTACTTGCAAGTCAACCTCATAAAAACAAATCCGTCACAAAGTTTACTCATTCTACTCAACAACATAAAAATTTGAGAAGTACATGAAGTTCATGTAATTGAATTACATATAGTATATTACAGACTCTATGTATGAAATTCAGACATAAATTTCCTATTTATATTACTTTTAATGTTCATACTTGCAATAAAAACATTGAGTAACCACAAGAAAGGATAATACAAAAACCAACAAAGATAACTGCTTGATTCCTTCCCGAACATAGTAATTTTTAAAAACACAATTAGAAACTTACTTGATTAGATAATTGAGTCTAGCAGTGAATCTTAAACTGAGAGACAAAAAATATCTAGAGAAAATTCTTTGCTTATTGTAGGAATATTTCAATACTGAAGGATAATTATCCACATTGCAATCGATTATTTTCTTTTCTTTTTTTTAAGGTTTTTGCCATAAGGTATGTGTGCTCGCTGGGATGGAGAGAGACAGAACCAGTGAGAGGGAAATTGAAAAATCCCTGCCCCCCACTAGCAAGGGGGGATGACCACACTGCAATCCTTTCTCCTCCATTCTCTTCCTGGGACTTTGGGCATGCATGCACACATACCTGACTTGATTTTCAAGTCAACAGGTCCAGGACTCTAACCCCAGTCAGTCATGTGGGAGCCTAGCGTATTAACCATCCTGCCACCTGCTAGCCCTGAAACCATTGTTTTTCTTAAATTAAAAAACAACAACAAAAATAATTTAACTTGCCAGGGGTGTACATGCTCACCAAAGACAGACAGACAGAGAGAGAGAAAGAGAGAGAGAGAGAGAGAGCATGTATCCCAGGGATCATGGCCATGCCACTGTCTTTTCCTTCATCTCTCTGTCCTATAAGGATTTAGGGCATGTACAAAAGCATCTGAGATGTTTTTCAGGCCTTTGCAGCCAGAATTCAGGCCGCATGTGAGATCAGACTCCCTAAGCCCCCAGGCCGCAGGAGGCAGCCTTTTTCATTTCCATTATATACAATGTCAGTATAAAAGGAGACACCAAACATCGATGTCAGCATTAATCTTATACAGCAGGTGCAATGATGGCCTGGAAAAGGATTGTCCTCATGTCTCTTATAGGAGTTTGGAAACTATCTGCTGAAAGGTCTAGGGAAAAGTTTACAGTACCCCCGCCCCCCCCACCCACAATTTCCAACTTTAATTCCTTTTTTTGAGCATCTACTAGATAGATTAAGTAATTTATATTAAAGAAACATATTTGTAGAATATTTTCTAAACCTATATATATCCAAAATATCTTTTCTTGGCATTAGCTCTTAAAAAAAAAGGATAATGCTTCCTTACTTTCTGACATGGATGTAAAATTAGGATTAATTTGTCTCTCGTGCCTGAGAAATAATGTCATTTATATGACTGATTTATTCTAGAATGCTTTTTTACTCTTTATAATTATGAAAAGTCAGTGTATATCAGGGTATAACTGTCCTTGATTTTATCTGGATAATATTTTATCTCAATTTTTGTCTTTTATATCTATAATGTCCCCCCATAATTGTCATATTTGTGCTTTCCCATGTCTCCTACTGAAGGTTGAGGGTGCTCACTTTTGGTTTTACTGAAACACTATGTATACTCAAAATATTTGCAGACATTCTAGTACATAAAAAGCATTCAGGGGAACCAGCAGTTGGCATAATGGCTATGTCGCTGGACTCCCACGTAGTCGACCGCAGTTCGCGTCCCGGACCCGGTGACTTAAAACTCACTCCAGGCATGTGTGCATACGTGCCCAAGATCCTGAGAGGAGAATGGAGGAGAAGGGATTGCAGCGTGACCATCCCTTCTGGGGGATGATTTCTCACTTTCTGTCTCTATGTCTCTGTCTGTCTGGCAAGTGCATGCGCCCTATAGCGAAAAATCTCTCCAAAAACTAAAAATAAACATTCAGGAACTGGTATGAGTCATTATTTTCAGTTTGGGAGCTAATCCCAGGTTGCGAACTTGTATGTGGATTCTTGGTTCAATGATATACCCATTACCCACAAAGGATTTTAGCACAGGAGTCTAGCTGATTTTGCTCTCTCTGACCATCCATTGGCCACTGCCCACAGTCCTGAAGGAGAGACTCTGAAATTAACAACAGACTTTCCTGACATTTTCAGTCTCCACCTATGGTAGCCTTCTGGATTTAAGACTTCTAAATTCATTATGATTTGGGGGCAACCTCAGAACTCTTGCTGAATTTCCAAAGAAGCAGCTGTTGTCTATGGTGATTGCCTGTTGCCTGCCTCTATACCTCACATAGACTCTCAGTTGGTATGTATAGTTCCCAGCCCTGAACCTGCACAGTCTGTTCTTCTGCTATAATTAAAATATTCATGCATGAACATAATATAAGATAAAATATTTTGGGGACCAGCAGGTGGCAGAGTGTTAATGCATTAGACTGCAACATGGCTGACTGCAGTTAAAGTCCCAGATCCCACAGCTTGAAATTCACACCAGGCATGCATGTGTGAGTGCCCAAAATTCCAAGAGGAGAATGAAGGAGAAAGGACTGCAGTGTGGCCATTTTCCTGGGGGGTGGGGGGGGCAGTGATTTCTCGCTTTCTCTCTGTCTTTCTGGTGAGCACATGTACCCTACAGAAAAAAAAATCTCAGGATCAGCAGTTGGCATAATGGCCATGTTGCTGGCTTTATATGTCGTCGACAGCGGTTCAAGTCCCGGACCCGGTGGATTAAACTCATGCCAGGTGCATGTGTGTGCATGTCCCGAGAGAAGAAGGGAGGAAAAGGGATTGTGGTGTGGCCATCCCCCCTGGGGGGTGATTTATCGTTTTCTGTCTCTCTGTCTCTTTCTGTCTTTCTAGTGTGTGCACACGCCCTATAGCAAAAAACTCTAAAAAAATAACCCTTTCTCTCTTAAAAAGAAAAAAAAAGATAAAATATTACAAATCTGAATATTATGAACACTTTAACTAGAGCATATGTTGATAAATATGAGATTGATTCCTTTTTTACTGAGTATCTTTCTTTTTACATTTTCTTATCAAAACCAAAACTTGGAAACTATTTCTCTTTTTCTAGTTACCACCCCAATTTCTTTATCATTAGTTACTAATATTTATTCGTACAAAAACCAGAATTGAGTCCCACAAACCATAGATGTGGCCTATGTTTTCAGTTATTCCAAGGCCAGGTTGATTTTAATGATGATTGATTCAAAAAGTCTAGATGCTTTAATTAGACTAAGGTGACTAGAAGCAGAGTAAAACAATCAACCTTGTGTCCTTTCTTTCCTTATTTATAAAAGATAAAACTAACAGTAATTGATCACCTGTTTGTGTGAGAGGCCATCTGTAGTAAAGCTCATATATATTAAATAAATGTGCCCTTTTGTTTTATCGTATGAGTACATGTACATTACTATGAAGGTATACCAGCTTGTGGTACTGCAGAGGAATATTGTAAAGCTCTTTAAGGGACTTTATGGATTCAACAGTTTGTGACGCTTTGAAAATGCTGCATTTTACACTTAATGTTCATATTGTCTAAACGTGTGGAATTCTGCACTATCTGGTATTACATGTGTTTATATGTAGCCTGTTGGTCTGCAAACTACCATAAAATGGCTGTTTTTGCTCAGGTCTTCTAATGTCAGCTGTCTCATAAGAGACAGTAAATGCTG